TTCCCACTTCACTCCTACATATCTGCCTTTTATTTTTTTTGGGGAAAGACACGTGCAAAATGGAAAACAAACGTGACGATTGCTCGGACCTTCATTTTTCTGACACTCGGACACATAGCTGAACTCCACCACTACCCAGAAAAATTAAATGCAGTTTCCAATTCTGTTGGTCATGGGTTGGTTTCATTTATTATTTGGAATTCTCCTTCATTTCAATACATCCACTTCTGCATATATTTGTTTAATGTCCATGATTAGTTCCTGCACATCCTCTGAACCAAGGAGCAGGTGCATTCTCCTTTTTCTACAATTTTGTTCCCTTTTATGTTGATGTGCCCTTAATAATGTCATGTATGATGTTTTGTTCCCCAATTGTTATGAGTATTTTACTTTATTTTATAAAAATTTCGTAGATTTGGGTGCAAGTTAGAATCTTGATCTTGCGTATGGAAAATGGGTAATCTTTTTTTAATAACAAGTTGTTGTTGTAATAAGTTTTTCATTTGAGGACGTAAATATGTTTTAAAAATGCTTCGTTGTGTGCAGAAACAGAGGACTCACTTAGCAGGGCAGAACTCTGGTCAGATGGTAGATCCCACCGATGCTGATTATGTGGAATTGGGAGAAGCTTCGTCTCCCAAACTAGATAAGTACCAAAACGTTTCGATCATACCACTTGTCTTCTTAATCTTTTATGAAGTATCTGGAGGATCATTTGGTGTTGAAGACAGTGTCCGAGCGGCTGGTCCCCTTCTAGCCCTTGTTGGGTTTTTGATACTTCCATTTGTATGGAGTGTCCCAGAGGCACTAAAAACTGAAGAATTAGGTACAATGTTTCCTGAAAATGGTGGATATGTGATTTGGGTTTCACCTGCTTTAGGTCCTTACTGGGGTTTCCAATTAGGTTGGAAGAAATGGTTGAGTGGAGTCATAGATAATGCATTATACCCAGTTTTATTTCTAGATTACATGAAATCAGCAATCCCGGATTTAGAAGGATGTTTCACAAGAACTATTGTGGTTTTGGTTTTGACTGTGGCACTCACTTACTTGAACTACAGAGGTTTAACCATAGTGGGAAGGGTTGCAATATTATTGGGTGTGTTTTTCCTTCTCCCTTTTATTTTCATGGGAATTGTGGCAATTCCCAAACTGGAGCCTTCAAGGTGGTTTGTGGTAGGTTTTGGAAATATGGATTGGGGTTTGTTCTGAAATACTCTCTTTTGGAAACTGAATTACTGGGACTCAATCAGCACTCTTGAAGGAGAGGTGCAAAATCCAAGTAAAAGTCTACCTAAGGCTCTCCTTTACACTGTTATGTTGGTAGATTCCACTTGATTGCCTAGGGTGGACTGATGGGTATTTTTCAGAAATTGCTAAAATGTTTGAGGTGTCTGGTTGAGATCTTGGGTCCTGGCAGTTTCTGTACTATCAAACATGGGGATGTTTGTTGCTGAGATGAGCGGTGGGGATGGCAGAACGTGGCATGCTTCCTGAGGTTTTTGCAAAGAGGTCCTGTTATGGAACCCCTATAACCGGGATTCTGTTCTCTGCATCTGGTGTTTTATTGCTTTCATTTTTGAGCTTTCAAGAAATAGTTGCTGCAGAGAACTTCTTGTACTGCTTTGGAATGATTCTGGAGTTCATAGCATTTGTGAAGCTGTGGATGAAATACCCAGCATCTTCTCGAACATATAAGATACGTGTTGGAACAACTGGACCAATCTTATTGTGTATTCCTCTTATCCAATTAATTTTTGTGGTGTTGGCTTTTTCTTCTTTCAGAATCATGGCCATTAGCATTCTGGCCTTCATGATTGGTCTTGCACTGCACCCTTTTCTCTACTACTCCGAGAAGAAGAGATGGATCAGATTCTCCATGAATGCTGATCGCTCAGATATCCATTCTACATATCAATAATGTATCAAAAATTACTTGCGGCTTCTATTTGAAAATGAATTCTTTTCTTGTTCCAATAGCATTGACATTGAAAATGCATTGTTGGGTCAGTCCTTGTAGAAACTATGCTCACTTTGAGATGGATGTCCTTATGGCTCAATAAAGAGATGGCATCGGTATACTCCTACTCTCTCTACTTTTTCATCTTGCTCATCTGCTTTAGTAAATGAGAAACAAAAGATCTTTGCTTTTTAGGTGAATTCTGTCCTCCAGTTTTTAGAGCTTAAATAATTGATTCAGATTGACATTTAAGCAGTATCAACTACCTTGCAGGCCTCATTATGTATCAAACTCCCCACTACAATTGCTGGGATTATTGGCTGTCTCTATGTCAAGAATGGATAAGGATTAGCTGGATTGTCTTTTACATTATTTACGGTATTTTTAGCTCTATCCTAGCCAAGCACATTATTTCCCAGCATTAATGATTATCATGTGTGCAGAATTATCGCTTGCTGTTCTAGACAAGGTTATGGTTTTTGTCGTTTTACCTAGTGACATGTTGTAAGTACTGATTGTAAGGATAACAGAATTAGTCATTTTGGAAAATCCTAGTAAATTTATTAAGTTTACAGTCATCTATAACAGCAAAGCAAAAGTTCTGTCTATCCTGCGTTTATTTTTGTTTAGTTCTTTAAATTTGTCTATGAATTATGTTCTCCACTACAAAAAATGCCAGGGTTGATGGGTTGTAAAGGCACATGGATACATTTAAATTAGGATGCTGCAGTCCTGTTCCTCATACATAGCTCCATCCTTTTGAGTTTGCAGCAAAGCTAGCTGTTGATGTTTTCACTTTGCTATTATCAGAGAAATCGTCATGGCTGTCACCCGAGTGATTAGGAAGAAGCTTCCATGATTAACATACTGATTGTTGTTTTTACCTCTCAAAGTCATTGTGATTGGGGGGTAGAATTGAATGGTTTGTCATTGGATTATACAAAACTTTTCTTAGTCTATAAAATGCCGCTTTTCTTTTGGCCTTTGCTTTGGTGCTCTGCAAGAAAAAACAAAGTTATAAAGCAAAGAAGAGAAGCAGGAAGAGAGGAAATGGGTGTTCTGAGTAACTCTCCGAGAAGAAAGGATTCCCCCAAAGCACCTCCAAAGAAAAAATCCACCACGTTGCAGTACCTGTTTGATCTGGATTCCAGGAATTACAATGCAAACAGGCTTTCAAGTCCTGTGAGGCAATCTTCTTTGGAGTCTGAATATGAAGAAATGCACTCTGCAATCTCCTACTGCAACTGCATCTTCACTTTTACTGATCCTTGGGAGTCTCCTTCCCAGCAAGATCTCAAGCGGCAAAAGCTCAATCAAATCCTTTCCATGGTAAAATCTTCCAAAAGGTCAGTGGATGAATATCTTCTGCCTCATCTCATGATTATGATATCAACTAATCTCTTCAGGCCACTCCCTCCACCTTCCAACACCTACAACATCATTGACCTTCCTGATGATGAAGAACAACTTTCCAGCTATTCACCAGCATGGCCGCACTTGCAGATTGTATATGACATCCTTCTTGGGCTTGTCCTTAACATAGAACCTAAAATTCTCCGTGATTACATTGACCACCATTTCCTTCTCAACCTTCTCTCCCTTTTTCAGTCTGAAGACCCTAGAGAACGCGAGAGCTTACAGAATGTCTTCCACCGGATATATTCCAGGTTCACCTTTTACCGACTCTTCATGAGAAAAGCAATGAATGATGTTTTCTTGCACCATACTTTCGAGACAGAAAGGCACTGTGGGATATCTGATCTGCTTGAGATATGGGGGAGTATCATCAATGGCTTTGCAGTTCCTCTAAAGGAGGAGCACAAGTTGTTCCTTATGAGAGTGCTCATCCCATTGCACAAGGCAAAAGGATTGCAACTTTACCACAGACAGCTTTCTTACTGTGTTTGTCAGTTCGTGCAGAAAGAACCTGCCCTCGGTGGGGTTGTTGTTAGAAGAATTCTGAAATATTGGCCTGTTACCAACTGTCAAAAAGAGGTTGTGCTCATTGGGGAGCTCGAAGAACTTGTGGAGAACATAGATCCCAATCATTACCGGCAACTGGCTCTTCCTTTATGTACTCGGATAACACGATGTTTAACCAGCTCCAACTCACAGGTAAAACCCTTCTTCCATATGTTCTCTCGCAAAATTTCAGAAGGTAAGAAGAACCCAAGATGGCCGGTTAAATTCAGATACCCTGTTTCCACTGTTTCCTCTGTTGTAATTTCAGGTCGCGGAGCGTGCGCTATATGTATGGAACAATGAGGCTTTTATGAAGATGGTATTAGAAGCATTAGAAGACGTGTTTCCGGTACTCGTCGAAGGCATGGAGAAGAACCTAAGGATGCACTGGAGCAAGAGTGTGAGGCAGCTGACAGAGAACGTCAGGGCAATGCTAGAAGAAATGGCTCCAAATCTATACTACAAGTGCCTTGAGGATATGGATGTTCGGGAATCCGAGGCTCGTAGGGAGATGATGGAGAGGAAGGAGAGATGGGAAAGAATAGAACTGGCGGCAGCAGCAGCTGAGCAGATGAAGAAAATCGGTTCTCCCGACCACCACAATTTTCAAGTGTGACATCTTGTGCTGGCAATGAATTTCAGAAGTAGTTTAGGGTGTGAATAAAATATGTTATCCAATATCTATACCACGTTGCCAGCCACCAAGAGCAGCGATGTTTCAGAACTTGGGAATGGATAATTGGCGGAAGGGACAATGAAATTTCATCAACAACTTTATCACAAAATAACGTCTTTCATTTTATAATTTTCTAAATTGATATATATTTATTCATTTTTATAGTAAAACTCGTCAAGAGATAGTCAATAAAGAATAAACACAGATGATCCATTTTTAGCCACATCTAAATAATAATAAAAAAAAATAAAGAAATGTTATTCTTAATAGTCCGGAAAAACGAGGAGGTTCGTAGTATTAAAATTATTAAGTTCAATTATAATTATTATTTAAGTATATATAACTAGAATTTTATTTAAATAATAATTGTGATTAAGCGTCTTTATAATTTTAATATTAAAATGTGCTGATTTTTTTTTATTAATCATTTTTACATTAATTTATTAAAGCATATAGTTTTTTTTAAAAAAAGATTAATATGACCAAAAACAAAATTACATGTCACCCCCACAACAGCGTCGTTTGCTGCTCTTTCTTTATCATCTTCGCTGTGTCCCCAGTCTCTCTCTAAGACACTCTGTCGACGGAAGTGAAACCCTAGCTCTCCCCATCGCCGATTCACGGAATTGAGTAAGTTTTCTCGAAAATCATAGGTCAATGAATCACCGTCATCTTAGAATCTTGGTTTTTTCAGCTTTTTAATCTAAATTTTACAACGATATTCGTTGCGATTCTGATACGGCCTCCTCAAAATAACTCAAATGTCGATCCTTTACTTTCTTCTTGTATTAAACGTTGTTCTAGCTTCAGTATTGCGACCCCATTTGGTCCAAGAATTGAATTGATGTTCTTTTTTTTTTTTTACTAGCAGCTAATATCTATTAGCAGCCACATTTGGAGCAAAAATGGTGATTGTTTCTGGGTTCATAGCTAATTGTTCAGGTTCTTCTGTCTTTCCATGTAATAGGAATACAATATAATTTTTTTCATTTTTTCTCTTCTTGGTGCTTTAATTTTGTTCTTAAATGTTAATTTTCCCTATAAGTCTATATCTATAGGTTTGATTCATCCCAGTGGCTATAAACTACCATTCAGGGACCAAATATATAACAGGATCAGATTTAATGGTAACAACCCTTGTCTGTTAGCTTCTGAAAAGGTAATCAATCGCATTTGTATTGCATTATATTCTGTTCATGAACCTTGCATTGCATCCTATTAGCATGCCATTGCTTATTTGACGTTGGAATTCATTCTTGTAGATTTCTAGAGGAAGAAGAACCTGGTCGTTTATTACAAAGCCTTATTGGCCATTGCTTGTTAGGTCTGTAAGAAGTAATCGAGATCAATTAAGCTTTAATGATGAATTCCAGGAGAAGCCTTTCTGGCTTAGTCTTATTGAAGATTCTATTTGGTAATTTACCTATAAATTCTCTCTATTTGTTAATCTTCCTTCGTAACAGAACAAGTTCTAGGAGGCTTGTTATGAATTAAACTTCATAGGGTAACTGACGTTCTTTCAAACTTTTAGGGCTCTAAGATCTCTGTGCTCTTTTTTGGTCGGGCAGCCTGGTCAGCTGAAATACATAGAGTGGCCAAGCTTCCAAAGCACGGTATGAATCAGTAGTATTGGGTTAACTACTTGTAAGTTAAATGATGTATAGTCCAACAAAAGTAGCCGGTAGAAGTTTTTGATCCATGTGTTGAACATTCCTGGACATGCAACAATGCAATTGAAGTAGATAATTGGGTCTTTATTATGCCAAATCAGTCACAATTTGGAAGAAATTTTGTTGTTTTTTCAGTTTTCAAGATAGTAACGTGGTTTTTCCTTTGATCTTGTGCAGCTGAAGACTGCAACCTTAACTCTTGTTCTTGTTGCAGCACTCATTATCGCACTAGCATCTGTTGACTCTGTCTTATGCTTTCTCTTGGCTTTGATGCTCAGAAAATCTTCATGGTAATGATTATATCATAAGCATGGTTTTTAAACTGCTAAGGTTGAGCTACACTCCTAATTACAAGTAGTAATAATAGCTACCCAGAGAAATTTGCATATCCCTTTCTTGCTGTCCTCATTCATCACAGAATCACAAGTAGAAGGTTATATAGAATGAGGGGCAGTCTCTTGTGGATAGGTGATTTGTACATTCCACTGACTTTAAGGGGCTAAACTTCTACGGTATGTACAGAAGGGAAATGGTTAGATGGAATGAAAGCCACTGAATATTAATGGAATCAGTATTTATCTTGTAGTTTGTCTCAGTTTCTCTTATTGATGGAATCAGTATTTATCTTGTAGTTTGTCACAGTTTCTCTTCTTTCTTCCATCTGGATTAGCCTAATCATTGTTGCTTGATTAGCTGCTGCAAAGCCTTTTCTTTTTCCTGGTCTTATTGTCCCGGAAATGGTAATCATAATTAGTTGATCATAATAACTTTTAAAATTTGATGGATATCAAATTTAGAAATTTAACAATAAAAACTACACTCCAAAAGTTGCAAGTTATTAACTTCAATATCTCAATATTTAGAAATTGAAGACAAGGAAAATTGGAAGAATATATTTTTCTCTTCAAAAAGAGATTGTATTTGTCACAGCTTCAAAGTTCAAAATTTGTAGAAAAGAAAATATTTCTAAAATCCAAGCCAAAGAGACAAGGCATTATGCATGAAATTGATAATTTGACAACATCTCTCATCTAATTGATCTTAATATCAGAAAAGTCTATTGGTTGTGCTAAATGAATTACACATTTTATTAACATTGATAAGAGATAACTAAATAAATTTTAATTTTTAAAGATATTTTTTTATACGTCTAACAATAAATTATATAATAAAAAATCCTTCGCCACCTGTGGGTATCTAATGTGAGGTGGGGTGATCCCCGGCCCTAGGCTAACGACCCCTGGAATTTTAGTTACTCTATTTCTATAGGGTTAAACGGTGCGTTTCAATTTTCGTCTTCCCGGTTTTTCGGGTTAACGTAAAGTTGTTTTCTTTACGAAGAAAAAAGGGGTTTTTTTTCGAGGTTTAGGGTTTGGATTTCGGTGAATGAGCAGAGGGAAGAATGGAGGCAGAGGTGATACAATCAGAGATAGTGTTGCCGACTCACTTGAATTTCAAGAAGATACAGATGTATGAAAAGTACCCAAAAGGGCAATCGAGGGGCAGACACTGGAAACACCTCAAGCAGATACTTCAAGCTGAAAATTATCAGAATTATCCCCCTGATGAACCCAACTGTGAGTTTTGATTTTTTTTTTCATTTTTAGCTGTAAAGATTTGATTTGGTTATTAGGATTTATTGAAGTGGCATGGCTAAAAGAACTGAATTTATATTCCACCCAGTTAAGAATACATTGACTGGTATGACAGGGTGCTGATATCTGCTGTTTTTGGGTGTTTGTGAACATGATCAAGTGGGAGGTTTTGCAGCATGGCTGACTGAGTTTAGAATTTAGATCAAGGATAAACTGAAATCTTGAGCTACTATGGCGGAGAAAAATAATGCTTGCTGGTATGCCTGATAAAACATTAGCTACACCTGCCATGACCGTTGGTGTGATTAGGTTTGAGATGGGTACCCTATTGTGCAGCTTTGTCTTTTGGTAACTTGAATAAGATAAAATGTACCCCCTTCTATCTTTCTAAGGATGTCAGCTGCATTGGTTCAGTAGACCAATTGCTAGTTTAGAATTCCTTATTCTTTGTACTTTGGTTGCTTGGTAGAGAGCTGGTTATGACAAAGTACTGGTAATATAAGCTTTTGTGTTTTGGGTTGAATGGATTGATTGGAAGCTGAATGTTAATATAGATAGATGTTGCCTGAACCTGCTAAATTGCATGGTATTAAGCAGTTAAACATAAATTTGAAAAGTATGTTGGATATCAATGGTTGAAAACTGTTTACCACCTAAGTTTAATGAATACTTATGAATTTGTGTGCGTGTTGCTAAATCAGTGTTAGTATTCTAATTGGAAAGACGAGTACATACCCATGTATATGTTTTATCAATCCAGAGGACCAGACTCAAGTTATATTATTGGCCAAAGAAGAAAAAAAAGAAAAAAGAAAAAGAGAAGTTATATTAACTGCACCATGTTCTGGAGCTGTAAGATTTAAGCTCTTGTTCTTTATATTATCTCTTGCAAAGTAATCAAAATCAAGTTAACCTGATGAAATTTTATTCCTTGGTTGAATCTTGTTTTGTAGACATTAATATTGAATCATCTCCCTCCATGCATCCATGTAAGAAAATTTGTGATATAACAGGATTTGAGGTATGTGGTTCTGATTAATTCGTCAAACTTGAGGACTTAAGACTCATTTTTGGAGTGTATAATGCCCATTTTGAGCATTCTTGACCATTCAGAAATTTATTTGTTGTTCTATCCTTGCAGGCACCTTACTATGATCCAAGGACCAATCTCCGCTATGCAAATGCTGAGGTCTTCAAGCTTGTGAGGTCTCTTCCCAATGATCATGTGCAAAGATACCTGGCTCTGAGAAATGCGGCAATCGTTTTGAAGTAACATTTTTAAGAGATCAGCATGAGAGAATGGAGCATCTACCCGTAGTATCAGAAATTTTCTGAAAACATAGATTAGGTTTACCTGAAGATCTTAGGAAAATTCATGGTGCATCATCTATAACTGTAGTAGATGATGCAGCTATCAAAACTCATTTCATTCAATGGAAACCACCCCAAAACTGTAGTAGTTCCCTTGGGGAAGTAGAATAGTCTCGTAATTCATCCTCGAGGCAAGGATCGTTCTTTTTGAAAATTGAATATACTGATTTCTTTTCTTTTACATGCATGACAATCTGAACCAACTTTCTTTCAGTACATTGTCTTCCTTCTTTCAATTATGCAAACATTTTTTTATTTACATACCAAATGAACGAACCAAATCTGTAATTATCTTGGAACTTTTAATACTTATCCAATCCAACTGTGAATAAAGAAGCCTTAATCTGAATTCCGAAGTTCATGATTTTTCAGAGAAAATCACCAATTTAGATGATGTTAGTTACCAATGAAAGAGAACAATGATTCCAAGCAGAATAGTGCCAACCGAGATGGCAAGAAAAGTGCTCTAGTTTGCCTTTAACCAGAGTTTTCAGGCTCTGAATGATGGTTGGCCCAATAATTTTGTGACCCCACAAAGTGAGAAAAACATACCAAAAGAGAAATATTGATCAGAATTCAACGGCCTAAAATCAAGGTTCAGCCTTTCAGCAATGAGACAGGCAAAACGGGTAGCATCTGACTGTATTATTTCTACCATAACCCGACTCTGCATTATTCCAAATCCAATGCCACTAAAATAGGATTCTCTATAAACCCCAACAAGATTTTGTCTTTCTGCTGTTTCCCCACCGAAAGCTCTCACCTTGTACCCCTCCTCTGAAATAAGCAACAGAACAAAACCCAGAAGTCTTGTTCTCCATAATTGATTGGAATCAAAATCCGGTTGAGAGGAATCGAACTTAGAAATTTGATAATAATGGCGGCGAGTGCGTCGTGGCAGCCACAAGAAGAGGGGTTGAAGGTGATCTGTGGGCTTTTGGAGCAGCAGATTTCTCCTTCTTCAGCTGACAAGTCTCAGGTTTGGCAGGAACTCCAGCAGTACTCTCAGTTCCCGGATTTCAACAATTATCTGGCCTTTATCCTTGCTCGAGCCGAGGTATGCTCACATGCTAGTTGTTTATTTTAATGGAAAAAAATGGATATTCTTTCTTCTTTTTTGGTTTCTTTAGGAACTTGGGTCTGAGTATTGAATTGGTGGGAAGAATGCTGTAGATTGCTTTAATGGACATTTCTGTGATTGAATTTTTGTTTTCTTGGAAGAACTGGACTCTGGGTATTAATCGGATTGTGTTCTTGAGAAATTGGCTTCTGGTGTTTATTGAATAGTGTGTTTCTAGGGGGAACGTTTTTGAAATGATTGGTTCTTGGTTGGGTTGTAAGTTTGGGGAGGTAAATCACTTCACTTTGACCATCTACAGTCAGTTTGACTATCTTGCATGATAGACTTTTGTTTTAGCTTGTATGAGAAAACTTAGGATTGAAGTTCATTTGTAAGTTTAAAACAAGGAAATTAGGATGAAGGATTCCCAGAAGTCGTAGGATACTGCATTTTATTGGATGGTTCAATTCATTAGGTTTTCTTATTGTTCATACGTATGGGAACAAAACTGTTATATTTACCTGGATTTGGTTTTGCATTATCTTAAATGTCACTATACTTTCTTTTTGTTTGTTGTAAATGTGCCTCATCAACTCACTAGTTTTGTCATTAAGTACTGTCTGATGTAAGGAAATTCAGTTGACTAACTTTGATTATTGCAAATACCAATAGTTTTGTCTCCTAGTTGCTGTAGTCAAACTTAATTTCTGTTTTTATTACCTAGGGTAAGTCAGTGGAGATTCGACAAGCTGCTGGTCTGCTACTGAAAAATAATCTCAGAACCGCTTACAAGTCAATGGCTCCTTCTCACCACCAATACATAAAATCTGAGTTGTTACTTTGTTTGGGAGCTGCAGATAGGCACATTAGGTCAACAGTTGGAACCATTATAAGCGTTGTTGTTCAACTGAGCGGGATTCTAGGGTGGCCAGACCTGTTGCAAGCTCTTGTTGCTTGCTTGGACAGTAATGATCTAAATCACATGGAAGGTGCTATGGATGCATTGTTCAAGGTATTTCATATGTCCAGTTTCTACTTTCCTGGTTTCAGTAGATAAAATGTAGGCAGTATATCTTTGTTGGAAAACTTGTTTGCTGGTCAAGAAACATTCAGGATTTGTAACATAGTGGTTAGTCTTTAAGGGTGGGAGGCTGGGGGTTTTTATTTTATTTATTTTTTATGGACTTAAGGGTGATATTAATTCATTCCAAATTATCTAAAAAGTTTGTTTAATATGCATGATCAAAGCAAATTGCAGGTGTGTCCATGTACAGAAGCATTTTACTTTGTTGGTTGCCTGGCATCCTGAGATCAAACTTCTAGTATCATAGTGGTGCTGAAATTCTTTGGAGAGCCTCATTGAAATTTTTATAATTAGCATCCAATTTTTGTTTATAAATAGATTCTCTTGCATGCTGCTGATTATAGACCATAGTAATAAAGGCACATTAGAACCTATGTTATGTTAAAACTTAATTATGTTTATGGAATCATTTTTATGCAGATTTGTGAGGATATTCCCCAAGTGCTTGATTCTGATGTTCCTGGGTTAGCTGAACGACCCATCAAGATATTCCTTCCTCGATTATTTCAGGTGAAATGTATTTTCTTGTTGTAAAATTCCATTGTTCATGTTTAGGTTCTCTTTGTGGTTGTGTAACCAATTGCGCTTCTGTTATGTGAACAGTTTTTCCAGTCACCTCACCCTTCTCTGAGAAAGCTCTCCTTGGGTTCTGTAAATCAATACATTATGTTGATGCCTGCTGTAAGTTAGCTGGAGTGTTTGTGTTCTTAGTTCCTACTGAACATCATAATGGTACTTGAGGGCAATATCGATTATTTTAAATTCATTTCTTGCAGGCTTTGTATGCATCCATGGATAAGTATCTTCAGGGTTTGTTTGTTCTTGCCAATGACCCTGCTGCAGAAGTGAGGAAATTGGTGAATAGTTTCTCTCTCTCTCTCTCTCTCTCCTTGTTTTTGTATCAATTATGCAGTCTTGTATATGGAATGTGGAATTATGTTAAGTTTGTAGAAGCTATCAAATTTGTTGTCTGAATTATCTGCCTTAGGTGTTGATTTAAAGATGCTATCACTCCTTCTAGTTAGATCCTATAAGACTATGAGAGAACCACTTTAGCATTTGACCTAGGTTTTCCCTTGAATGCTCTCCTGCTTTTCAGAGGTAAAAGGCTGTTCTGATCAACATTTTTCCTGTCAAATGAGCAGGTTTGTGGAGCATTTGTTCAGCTAATTGAAGTTCATCCAGATTTTTTGCAGGTAGGGCATCTTTTGTTTTTTTCACATTTTAGTTTCTAAAGAAAACTTTTCCTGATGGTATTGTTTTGTTTTTATTTCATGATGTGTCTCTTCTTATGTCTAATGTCAACCTCCTTAGTTTGTTTCTAACCACTTTCACTATTTTGTAGCCCCATTTGAAAAATGTAATTGAATACATCTTGCAAGTCAATGAAGACGCCAACAATGAAGCGGCACTTGAAGCTTGTGAATTTTGGTGAGTCTCATCTCTGCTTGCATCATATAACAACTGATATAGTGCATTAAATTTAGGTTGTTTTGCCAAAGTTATTCACCATTCAAGTTGCTTAGAGGTTAGAACTATTCACATCTTCTGTTGTTAGTGTGGGCTGTAGTATTATTCTTCTTGTCCATTGGTTTGAAGTATTCATAAAGATCTGGTTTAAATATGAGGAGCTTTTGGCAATCATCTATGGTTCCTTTTATAGAGTGCTGTAGCCCAGCCTGCCTTTCTTTTCTCTGTCTCTGTGAACCATAGTATGTTAATGTTTGTCCACTAACCATTGGTTTCCAAGAGATCGAATCTTATAGCTATCTTCTTCCCGCACAAATTTTCTTGTATTTAGAATGTAGTTATAGCTAAGAATGAAGTCTGTCCATGTAGTATTTATTACTCTACTATTCTTAACTGAGTTGCTTGTTTCTGCTAATATTTACCTTTCAATGTTGTTTGGCAGGACTGCATATTGTGATGCTCAGCTACCACCTGAGAACTTGAGAGATTTTTTGCCACGTCTAATTCCAGTATGCTAATGATTTTCTTAGTGTTATCTTTTTCAGCTGCTTAAATTTTCGCTGGGCAGCCTGCAATCCCATGGTTATTATTACTATTTTTTTCACTTGTCTCCCATTTTGCAGGTTCTATTGTCAAATATGGCTTATGCTGATGATGATGAGTCTCTTGTTGATGCTGAGGTTAACATTTTTGACATATTTCTATTTTTGGATATTCTGCTTGGCAATTGTAATTAATAGTTTACCTGGAATCATTTCTTTTTTCTACAGGAGGATGAATCTCTTCCAGACCGAGATCAGGTTTGTAATCATTTGAACTTTAGTTCTATAATGTGTTTACTTCATTATTATATCTTGCTCAACTTAATGCATTTGAATAATTGAATTTGAGATTCTCTAATGATGCCCTGTTCTCCAGGATCTGAAGCCTCGTTTCCATACATCACGATATCATGGTTCTGAGGATGCTGAAGAAGATGTAAGTTACCCATTTGTCTTCCCTTTCTTGATTAATTTAAATGTTTTGGTGAGTCATTGTAGGTGAATACCTCGCAGTTTGGGCTAACTTCGGTCATTTTGGTGGAACTTTCTTTAAAACGTCCCTATTGGTTACAGGATGATGATATAGTAAACGTATGGAACTTACGCAAATGCAGTGCATCAGCTCTTGATAGTCTCTCAAATGTGTTTGGGGATGAAATTCTTCCAACTTTATTGCCTATAATTCAGGTAAATTATCCATGTGGAATGCATGAGTTTTGTTTGTAGATTGCTTACCTGTTTCTGCTTGAATGTTTCAATTCAAATTGTCAGTGCTACAATAGGATGTTGGATCAGGAACTCCTTTTTCCTGATTGTTCACCAACCTACCTATTTGTTGTTAATTATTGATCAAATTTGTTGATTCAGCTGGTTCTATAGTGCATTAGAAATCCAAATGGTTTCATGTTGCATGAACAACAAACTTGGATGAACTTGCTACTATTTTAAGAAATGGTGGTTTGTATTTCGTGTCATTGAGATGATTGATATTAATGCCAAACATCTGCTATGCATGTCATTGAAAATTTTAAAGTTTGAAGAATGATTAATTGGCTTTTATCAAAATATATCCTGTTTTCCATGTTATGCTATGTTCCTTTTCTTTGAAAACATGCAGGCTAAGCTATCCTCAAGTGACGATGATGCCTGGAAAGATAGAGAAGCCGCCGTATTGGCTCTTGGTGCTGTAGCTGAAGGTTGCATTAATGGTCTTTATCCTCATTTATCTGAGGTAACTTTTATTGTTTGATGTGGTTTTGCTAAGTTTCAAATCAGAATACATGACTTATAAAAACATATGGATGCATGCATGACGTTTTTCCCTTATGCTCATGAGTCATGACAAATTCAGTTTTTGCTTTTATCTTTGCTTTATCTGTGCCTTTGACTACTGTGTTACTTCTATCTTTTCCATGCCTAATTCTTGTTCAATAGCTTTGCATATCCCTGATACTCCCCCCTAGTCCCCTTTTCTCTGAGAAAGAGGCTGCTGAAATTGTTTTTCTCTGTTTCCCAAAACTTACATGCATTATTATATCTTATATTTTGTTCATTTTGCTGATAATTGTTGTTAAGTTGTTTACCCATTATTTTTTCTATGCAGATTGTCTCATTTCTTATACCTCTATTAGATGATAAGTTTCCTCTCATCCGGAGTATTTCTTGTTGGACAATTTCTCGATTCAGCAAATATATTGTACAGGTATGATTTTTTATGTGCTTCATCATCATATCTCTTGAGCACATACAAATATTGTATCTCTTTCTGCCTTTTTGTTGTTAATCCAGTCTTTATGGCGTGTATGTTTAGGAAAGTTTTGCCTGGAGAAGTTGTTGGAAAAGTTTTGTTGGGAAGGTGGCAACTTTTGTAGGGAAGTTCATTTAAATTGCTAACTTCCCTGTGTTTGATTAGAAGTTGACATAAACATTTTTGTAAAAAGTAAAAACTTGCCAAATGGGAGAAAGTTGGGGGAAGTTTTACCTGCCAAAATTCAGAGGAAAGTTTTCTTGCCTTGGGAATTGTAATGAATGGCAAAAATGCCAACTTCATCCCTAATTTGTTCATAGAGTATTGGGGTGTGTAAATACCAAAATGCCCTTGAATTTTGTGAAAGTAAGGGGGTGGAAGCTTTCACTAAACAAAATGCCCCCCTTAGTGTAGTCATAAGTTGATCTTGAAGAATTGGCATAAGTGGAATCGAATATGTGGATGTAAATAATAAATATCATAGAAATTAAGTAGGTAATGATGAGTATATGATTGTTATTGATGGCTATAAATCTAGGTATACTTTCCTCAAACTTTTCCCTTTCCCTCTTGGTTGTTTGCTACCACACAGCATGACACTTTTTTTATAAAATAAGTTCATTTTGTGGGTAGTCACCATGATTTTCTCACTTGAAAATGTTTTGAGAACTGTTCTGTGGGATTAGATTTTATAGTTTAGAACACATGTTTCCATCTATTTCAGAATATTGGTCATCAAACGGGCCACGAGCAATTTGACAAGGCTCTAATGGGTCTTTTACGAAGAATTTTGGAGACGAACAAGCGAGTCCAAGAGGCTGCCTGTTCAGCTTTTGCAACACTTGAGGAGGTTCTTGCCTAGATGCTCTATCAATTCAATTTTTTCAATTTAATTTCTTATACACTATAATTATCATATTTTTTGCAGGAGGCTGCAGAAGAGTTGGCACCAAGATTAGAAATTATTTTACATCATCTTATGTGTGCTTTTGGAAAATATCAGGTTTGTTTGTTGGCCTTCACATTACATTAAACTCATTGTTATGCTGCAATTATGACTAATGATGTGTAAGTTATTACATTCTGAAATTTACATGCTGTCTCAGCTATCCTAATACTATCAAATGTTTTTGCTTTTCCGACAAAAAGAATCTTTTAATTTATATGTCTATGATCATATTCAGAGGCGAAATCTCAGAATTGTTTATGATGCCATTGGAACCCTAGCAGATGCTGTTGGAGGGGAACTAAATCAGGTACTCACAATATGCCGAAGAAAATGGCTCTATCCTTCCTCTCTTTGCGTTGTCCAATTTGTGCCCAAGTTTCATTCTAAAAGAACTATGAGATGCTGTTTTATCCCTGGTGATGAATAAAATCTTGATGGTCCACTTATAATTTGCAGCCAGTTTATCTTGAGATTTTGATGCCACCACTAATTGCAAAGTGGCAGCAGCTTTCAAATGCAGACAAAGATCTTTTTCCACTTCTTGAGTGCTTTACATCCATAGCACAGGTCTGTGTACTATTTCTTTATGACATTTTATTTTCGTTAATTTCTGTTCTCCAACCTAGATCTCTCTATTCTCCAACCTAGATCTCTCTATTGTTCTCATGCTTTTCCCACTCTGTGGCCAGTAAGTAGTTTTGTGTTGTAAAATGGAATTAGATTGGGGTTCTAGTGAAGTTCCTCTATACTAATTTGTCTCAGCAATTTTGGACTGCTAGATGCCTTAATAACAAGTAGTTTTTAACTAAAATTTGGCCACAAATAGGTAGTACTCATTGAGCAACTGAAACCAAGACCCTTGGAAGAGAGTTTGTGTCTCTTTGAAGCTTTTAAAAATTGAGATGGTGTGTATTTATTTTCATCCAATTACTATTGTGAATCTCTGAGCCCTGATGCTTGTATAATTATGCCGGAGTCTTTTTATCTGCATGCATCTTAGCAACATAGCTTTCTGGATAAATCCTGTGTTTGCAAACATATAATCCAATCCAACAATTTTAAGTTTTCTTGTGATATCTGGTGCATTGAAGTCTTCAGCTTTTTCAGACATGATAGTGTCTTTGCAAAAGCTTAATTAGAATAACAACCACAAGTCAGTTTTATGGTAAAGATTAATGTGTGATTATTTCTTTCAGGCACTTGGTACAGGATTCTCTCAATTTGCTCAGCCTATATTCCAGAGGTGCATAAATATCATCCAGACTCAACAATTGGCAAAGGTTTTCTGTTTTTTGTTTTTTTGTTTTTTTGCTTTTTTGGTACTTACTATTCCTTTTTCAGTGTTTGATGTTATCTTTCCTAATTTTAAATATCTTTTTTTTTTCATAATTTTTCTTTTTTGGTGTTTGATGTAATTTTAACTAATTTGCTTTTATAAGTGCGGTGTTATACTAAAATCTACATTAATGATCACTCTATTCTTCTAATTTATTTATGGATTCAACTAATATAGTAATATTATACCATAGATGTTAGGGTAGCTCATGGAGCAGGTTCTCCAAAGTCCAGATTTTGTATTCATCATCACAAGTTAACTGTTCATAATTTTGAGTTGTAATGCTTGCTGACAACCAAGGCTCCATTTAGTATGATTTTGAATTTTGGATTTTGGTTTTCATTTTTTATATATTTAGTAACTATTACTATATTTAAAATTTGGAATTTATTATAAAAATTAAAATTTATTAAATTTAATTTAAATATAGTATTAGTTACTATATATATAAAAAATGAAAACCAAAAACCAAAAATCAAAACCATACTAAATGGAGCCTAATCTAATCTGGTAGTTGCTGCAAGTTCTCCATAGCTTGCTAGAATAGTGATGTTATGATGACCTTGCTAAAATAGTGATGTTTATGATGACCCTTAACTATGAAGAAAGCTGTTATTATCATCAGCTTAATTGATGCAAGCCCAAAAAGAAAAAGCTTGATAATGAGCAGCAGGTTATTGCCTTTTGGTTCATTTCATTATCCTATGGATCCTGCTGTTGCATCACTGTCTTTTTAGCTTACATTGAATCATTGTTATTTGTAGTTTTTACTCACCTTTGATGTTTCTCATGTTATTTTAGAAAATATGTAAACATTTTTCTCTCCATAATCCATTTACCTTTTTGGATTATACTGCTCCATAAACTATTTTCTCTTGAATGCATATGTTATTGTCACTGCTTATGGTTTTTTAAAACATCCTTGATTGAACTTTAACTGCAGGTCGATCCTGTTTCAGCTGGGGTTCAATATGATAAAGAGTTCATTGTGTGCTCTCTTGATTTGCTCTCTGGACTTGCAGAAGGTCTTGGTAGTGGAATAGAGAGTTTGGTACATTCTTTTCTCTATATTCTCTTAACAGGATAAAATGTCCAATAATGCCCACCTTCCCTGCCACTTCCCATTCTCACCACCCCATCTTTCTCTGTGCTAAGTAAATTTTGTTTCAGCTTTTATTTAAAGTTGGTATTTAGTGAGAGAGTCATTGACTCTAATTGCTTCTTCTGATTTCTATACATTTGCAGTAGTTATTACTATTATTACCTAGGACTGGTTAAAAGGATTGGCCATTGGATGAATAGCTTTCTCTCACTTTATTCTAAACTAAACCTCCTTCTTTGTCCATGTGTTAGAATGAGTAACGGTTATGATAACTAGGTTTTAATAACTTGTCTATTTTCTCCCAGAAGTCTGTTTATTCTCCATGACTACCATACGCAATTCTCCTTTAAATCTGAATAATTATTTCAACATGCTTCAAAACCAATGTAACATTGTAACTGGATTCTGGAAATGCTTATCCACATCCCATTTGACTTGCCATGCAGGTTTCACAGAGTAATTTGAGGGACCTGCTTCTGCAATGTTGTATGGATGATGCTTCTGATGTCCAACAAAGTGCATTTGCACTTCTTGGGGACCTTGCAAGAGTAAGTTAAAAAGTGATCACTAGTTGATCTCATTTTCAAAATTCAGATGTAAGCTAAATTTTCATCCTCCCTGGGGTTGTAGCCTTGTAGGAACATGAACCTTCATAACATACACAAGGATAAAACTACAGAACAGCTAGGTTTCACCTAGACCATGCTAAACTCGTGATGTTATTCTTCTAATTCATTTAATTTATGTTTAATTATGTTTTTGTTGGCTTTTCTTAGGCATGCCCCATCCATTTACACCCTCGTTTGTCTGAGTTCCTTGATATTGTGACCAATCAATTGGTGAGTGGAACTGATCCTGAGATTCTAATTGTTATATTTGGCCATCCCCTATTGACATGACATATTCTTGTTACAGAATATGTCCAAGATAAAGGAAACTGTTTCTGTAGCTAATAATGCATGTTGGGCAATTGGAGAGTTGGCAATTAAGGTATGGGAGCTATTGACAATGCAGTATGATTGGCCTGGATTACCTGTGACATTTTATCAGCTGGATTTATTGTAAATGGATTTGGAAATTTTGAATTTCAGGTTCGTCAAGAAATATCACCAGTTGTCATGGCAGTTATCTCATGTTTGGTCCCAATCCTTCAACATGCGGAGGTGATCTTCCCATTCCATATGTTTGGACTTTGGAGTTTTTGTGGCCTGCGTCCATGAGATAGTCAGTAAATCTATATTTGCAATCGATATTTGAATTACATCTTTGGATGACTAGCAGGAGATCAACAAGTCACTTGTTGAAAATAGTGCAATCACACTGGGGAGAATTGCATGGGTCTGTCCAGAGCTTGTAGCACCACACATGGAGCATTTCATGCAAGCATGGTGCATTTCTTTATCGATGTAAGTAATCATTCAGGCCTTTTCTTGCTTTCATGATGTTAAAAGTTGTAGAAATCCCAGCACCAAATCCCAGGGATGAGAAACAAGAATTAAGCTTAGTATTGGAAAACAATATTAAAATTTTCAGCATAGATTTTTTACATCGACTGATCTCTAAAGCAATTGATTATTCTGTCAGGATACGTGATGATATAGAGAAAGAGGATGCCTTCAGAGGTCTTTGTGCAATGGTATGCATATGGTTTAGTTTTTAACTTCTTTTCTTTTTTGATATATAGTGTGGTGTTGCTTATCAAGAAGCTGCGTCAATAATCCAATCCATGGTTTGGTGGTGCTAAACTTTTTCAGGTCAGAGCAAATCCATCCGGGGGTCTAAGCTCGCTTGTTTTTATGTGTAAAGCTATAGCAAGTTGGCATGTAAGGATGCTGTTTGTTTCTTTATTTGAATGTTTTATGTTTTGAATGATAGACTGAGTCCTTGATCTAACTTCTATCTAGGAAATACGGAGTGAAGAACTACATAATGAAGTTTGCCAGGTGTTGCATGGTTATAAACAGGTTAGCAATGCACTTACATGTTCTTTTGAGAGCAAGTACTGCAATTTTTTAAATCCTTAATAAGAAATATTCTTAGTAGTACTTATAGTTACTGAACTAAGGCAAACGTAAAAGAATGTGAATACTTAATGCATCAAGTCAATCAATGAATATTCTTGCAGATGCTAAGGAATGGAGCGTGGGAACAGTGTATGTCAGCTCTGGAGCCTCAAGTGAAGGATAAACTTTTGAAGTATCAAGTATAGAATTTTTTGGTTATCAGTGCTGGCTATCTCTACAATTTGTGATTCCTCAAATATATGTATCTACATCAGAATTTTGTGGTCATTTTGTGCATTGTTGGATTGTATTGGGGTGGCAATTCTTTTAGGCAAAAAGATGTGGTCATTAATTTTTTTCTCCTCGGCAAAGCATCAGTATTGCCTCAACTCAACAAAACTTGAAGCATAATTGCACCTTCCGGAAATGGGCAACAGCTTGGCTATGATTGGTTTGAAGGAAACGAAGCAAACAGAGAGTTGTGTTGATATTACGTACTGGGGATGCAGTTGTCAAAGCTTCAAGAAAGTTTTTCCTAGTTTTCTAGTGTAAGGATGGTTAAATGATCTTTTTGACCCTTCCATGCTTTGATGATTTCATTGGAAGGGGTTTTGGTTTGCAATCCCAATTCCCCATAGGGATTTTTAAAAGGGGTTTTGACTACAGTTTTCTGTCCTACATATTTTGCAAGAAATGTAACTTGACAAAATTTCAATTTTTTCTCATATTCGCATTGAGCCGTTATGAAATTGGAATTGTGAGAACAATAATGCAATGTAAACTGTCACTTGGCCTTGGGATGATCATTGGCAATTTGATTCTTTAAAAGTTATCCTTCTTTAAACTCAAATTCGAGTCTATTCATGACACTGCTTTTGCTCTAAAACTTAGCAATCTTACAAGCGATGCTGGGTTTATTGCACAGATTGTATGCATACGACACAACCTTTATTATGGGGATTTTCTGAGCATTAAAACTATGGGAAAGCATTGGATAGAATGAACAGATGCTAGTGCGATAGTGAGAGTTGCAACCAGAACAGGAGTTAAGGTGACAGTCTTCGGCTGCACAAGAGAAGCCACATTTTATTCCTCAATCAATACAACCTTATATTTCCCATCTTATTACCAGCTGAACCCAACAAGCTCGTAAAATTCATACAGAAAAAAGAAACAGAATCTCTTAATACTTAAGATGCTGAATAAAGTATTAGGGAATTCTGTATAAGCTACAGAAAACCAGATAATAATTAGTATTCCTAAGAATCATGAGAGCTTTGCTGATGATCTAATAATTGGACTGTATCCAATTAGAACACAAATTTTCTTTCGTGTTGTAAAAGCTGTTTAAGACTTCTTCGGTACCACAAGAGTGTAACTTTTTGGAAACAAGGGAATAGTAGACAGCATACTTCTTCAGTACCACGAGAGTGTAACCTTTTGGAAACAAGGGAATAGTAGACAGCATTCTTGCCATAGAATCTTGGAAAATAAACTCTGTTGTCCATTCCATGGGTTGCTGGTATGGCCAAAGATGAATAATGACTAACATAAATTATATGGTTTCCTAGATTCTCAACTTCGGTCCAAACCATGGTGGACTCAGTTTTTCCATTTAACCTGAAAATTCGAACCCAGCTTCCTAAGAAACCCACAAATACCGACATGAGCTTCCCATCACATTCTACCAAATAGCTTTGGCAAGAAGAGCAAGGCTTATTAGCCCTGTCAAAAAATTTGAGTTCACCTCCTCTACGAAAGGAAAGTAAACATCTTGATTTTTCTTAATCTCTATAAAAAAAAACTAGTCTTATAATCTACATAATACCATACACAACATGATGTAATAGTTAGTGTAGTATTATTTTATTGGCTCTTTTTATTTAAAATGTAATGTTTGTATTTAACCATTTACTATTATGTGCACATTATTGCGGAAAAAAAAACATTGTGGGTGTAGCATCTATATTATTGTAATTTTTTTTTATGTTTGAATATAAAATGTCAAAATAAACTAGTTAAAAGTAAAAATATTTGTTAATATTGATATACAAGAGAAAAAAACAAAACCTCCCAAAAAAAATAAAGGGAGGGGGGGAGGGGTGACGAGACCTATTCAGTTACAGAAATTACAAACAATCCACCTCAAGAGAGAACTCACAGACAAAGGCAATATCATCTTGCCTCCTACCTCCCTTCGACCTGCACGTGTAATTGTATATGAAACCAACTCCATGTATATAGAACCAATACCAGATATTTAACAAATGAACAAGCAAAACCAGTGAAGATTTTATTTTTTTTTTTTTTTGAACTGAAGTTAAATAAAACCAGTGGAGATTGAACCAAAAGAATGTTTGAGGACTTAATGTCCCTGTGCATAACGGGAGAAACCGCCTCAAAAATCGTGTACAGAGAGATATATAATCACCCCATATAGGTATTGATAATCTTGAATTTACCACCATGGACAAAAGAAGAATTTTCATTGGGCAGATTTAACTTAGTTGCTAGAAGCTTGGAAACTTGCACGTGGAAAAAAGAGAAGTTGGTTAGTGCGTGCGCTGGAGGTGACTCTGGTGCATGCACTTTGATATTCAAATTAACAATATTCTAGTGGACGATGAAGAACGAGAAGAGAAAATGAGAAGAAAATGAAGGAAAATGGTGTAAAAGAGAGGGAGAAAATCATCTTTAGGTTGAGAAGAAGACCCCTTTTATAATCTATTTTTTTTAGTGGAAACATGCTAAATACGTATGTCTAATTTGTTAAGTTTTTTAAAAATCTATAAAAAAAAGTACTATCATAGTTATGACAATCAATAAAAAAGTGTCATGTGGTTATGGGGATAAGAAATGTTCCATAATGATTTCTGATTTTATTGGATGTGTCTGTCATCTTTATATGAATTCTATTATACCAAATATTTTATATTATCTTATAAGTAAAAGTATTAGATACTAGGTCTTAGCTGTACCTAGCCCAAGCCAACTAGTTAGTTTTGTAAATAAGCTCTCTAGCCATACCTAAGTAAATGTCATGTAACTTCACAAATCATACGTAGAGTTTTTAACTAGATATTGAGAGTTAGAAAAGATTTAACTCAATTAGGTTTCTTAAGAAAGCTTTTCAGATCCGACCTAAAGTGCCTCTAAAGATGAAAAAGTTAAGCCCTAAGATCATATAGATCACTGAGGGCCTGCTACATATAAGGAATATTTTACCTGATATCAGGTATGAAGCTTAAGGATGCAAGGCACAAACACAAATAGAAATTTCCATCAACCCAAATGACATCAATTCTTAGCCCATCCCAGGCCCTTGCTACATCAACACTATCTCTGATTGTATCACCTCTGGTTCCATTTTTCACCCTGCTCATTCATTATAATCTAAACTCTAAACCCGAAGAATTTTGAAGTTTAACCCAATAAAAGTAGTAGCTCTCTCTGTTAAACTTTGATTAAAATATTAATTTAATCTTTCAATTTTTAAATTTATATCAAATTTATTCTTAAACTTAAAAAATATTAAAATTACCCTTAAATTTTCAATAATAATTTTGTCCTTATGCCAATCAAGTGCTGACGTAATCAAATTCTCTATTAAATAATTCCCTTTCTTTTAATGGTAAAAATTAAGTGAAAAATAAGTGTGTGGTTAGGCCTTTTTTAACTCTAAAATTATTATGATGTGGCAATTTTAAAATTAAATAACATGGAATAAAATATTATAGGCCTTCTTTCAATTTAATTTAATTCTATTTATTTTTTTTAAATGTCATTTATTCAGTAATGCGCTTACTTACTATATTTTAATTTTATCTAAAAAAATAAATATAAAATATATTAAATAAAAATTTTTATTTAAATAATATTAATTAAAAATAAATATAAAATTTTATTAGTAAATTATTAATCTCTAATTAAAAAAAACACTAATATTTTTTGAAACGAAAAACACTCTATTATTAATTACATTGCAGAAGCCGGGGGTAAGGTATAAAACGCACCGTTTGGCACCGTCGTCTCAAGGCGTGGGACGGTGGGATCCTTACATCTAGTTGCTTGCTGCTTTCTCTTATTTGTGAAGGAAATTCATTCCTCTTCTCTGGATCTATTGATTCTCCCGCATTGCCTACCTTCTCCTTCGCTTGTCACCAAAAGGGTTTCGGGGAAAATCTGCATTGTTTTTTTTTTTTTTTCCTTTCTTTATGGGATCTTTGTGTGGGATTGGATACGAGCTTCTTTTGTTTTTCTGAATTTATTTGATTTGCTTGAGTGTAGAGATTCCTGAAGCAATCTCGAATCTGTAAGCCACTTTTCACTCTTATATGTTCTGGTTAAGAAATCTGAAAAAGGATATGAAATTCACTTCAGATTTCTCTGAAAAGGTAGTTTTTTCATCGTTAGCTTACATTATCTTCAGTTTTACGAGTTTCCAGGATCTGGGTGCTTGGTATTGTTCTTTTGTATGCCCCTCAAAACATAAACTCTGTCCCTTTTCTTGGGTTGTCTAGTCTGGGGTTTCTGTTGTGATCTTGATTCTTAATTCTGTTCCTTCATATCTGACTTTGGGTTGTGTCAAAGTTAAGCTTTTGTCTGAAATTTTTCATCTTTTGTGTAAACTGTTAAGTTTTTGTCGTGGTGATGAGGAGTTGAAGTGAGTAATTATGGAGAGTGATAAACGGTCTGTTTCGTTTCGGTTAAATCGGAGAGGAGAATCCAATAATCAAAACACACTAGCTAAAGGTAAGCATATGGTTTTCAAGTTATCAAATTCCATGATTAATCATCTTTCTTGCACTGATTTATTTTATATAATGTGGGTGTATAATGGTGCATAAGATAGGAATAGGAAAGATTAGATATTTATGTTCTTTATTGGGTTTTTCAGTGTGAAATTCCCCAATGTGATGTATGGATTTAGCTCAAGAAACAAAGGACCTTGTAAATTCAGGTGTATATTCTAATATTTGCTGCTGATGATGCAGATGAGGAAGGTAGCTTTCTTTTTGCTGGAAGGTTGCCCCAAGATTATCCTATGAAGATTGTGTGGAAGAGGGGCTTTATTCGCTTGGTTCTTGTTGCAGGCATACTGTGGATGCTTCTCATTCTAATTGTATTGTTATTTCATGTCTGGTCCTGCCAGACTTCATTCGCATTCTTTTCAGGTATTTTTAGAAAACTAGAGGTGTTAGCTTGTTAGATGTTCTTTCAGCTGCAGTAACTGCATTATTTACTTAACGTAGCCTGTCTATGGATAATGAAGTTTGAAGTAAAGGTGTCTTGTTTGATGTGCAGCTTTGTGTAACAGAGAGGGTAAAGTATTTGTTGCGTTAGACACAATGGGGTTTGTACAATCACAACACCGTAAGACTATTGAGACATCTCTTCTTTGAATCTATTTCTCTGGGTTATTATAATGTGTGATACTGACTATGCTCTTATCAATTAGGTTGTCCAATTCCTGTTGCTAATGACCCTGATAGAGTAGTTATTCCACATGGAAGAACACCAGATGAGATTGTCAAAAATTTAACCTATATTACAGAGGATGAGTTTGCAAATAATGGATCTCAGTCATCCCCCCTATTTGGAGGGCATCAAAACTGGTCTGAAAGAGAAGAGAGTTTTAAATTAAAACCTACAATGGAGGTAAACTAAAATAGTAAACACTCTTTACAAGCTTAATTCATGCTATTGTTCACATTTTTGTTATGACTAAAGGGAAAGCAATTGTTGGGGGATGGAGAAATTTTTTTTAAAAAAAATTTAATTTAGTTGTAAAATTTCTTATAATTGGAAAGATAAAGTTTTCTTATGCTTGTTTTCCCTATTCTTTCCCTGCTAATGAATAATATATTACATAGTTTATTTGATCGATCTTGTTTTGTCATGCATTTTCTCCCCTCAGGTGCACTGTGGATTTATGAGAAATGGTGGTGCTGAAATGGATCCTGCAGATGTTGAATATGTAAAGAAGTGCCAGTTTGTTGTTGCATCTGGAATTTTTGACAAATATGATGTACCTCATCAGCCTTCAAATATAAGTGATCGTTCCAAGAAGCTCTTCTGCTTTTTGATGGTGTTGGATGAAGTATCTCTCAACTTCATAAAGGAAAATGTTACTACTAGGAAGGATTCAGATGGAGGACTATGGGTTGGTGTATGGCGTCTTATTCTATTGAAGCATCAACCTTATGACGAGCCTAGAAGGAATGGAAAAGTTCCAAAAATTTTAACTCACAGGCTATTCCCTCAAGCACAATACAGCATCTGGATAGATGGTAAAATGGAGCTGATAGTCGATCCATTGCTAATTCTTGAGAGGTATTTTCTTTTATGATGAGTGATGAAGAACTTTTGTAATTTATATATTATGACTATTCTAGATTGGCCTACATTTATTCCATCTTTGTTTGCTGAAAAGCCAAGAAGGGGAGAATAATGGGTAGATATTCCTTTTTTCTGCTTTATGTTGATGATACTCTAGTTTATTTAACTGGAATTGGTTGAGTGGAGATTTTCAGTTTCTACATCAAAGAATTTTAAGTGGACAAGTACTTTTCCTTTGTCAGCAGCAGCAAAATTGTGGAGCATATGCTCAAATGGAATCATTTGATGAATCAATATAGTGGAAGAAGAAAAATGATGGTTTAATTATGGTGTGCTTAGAATCTATTGTTTTTTATTGTCATTTCATTGCCATGGCTTAAGGTTTAGCAGCAGGAGTTTTGCTAACATGACTAAATGCAAAGAAAAACAGTTTGTTTTAATTCTTTGGAAAATGTCTTGTTGAGACCGTTAGGTTGACCTGTTTTAAGACAGTATTTGACCAAGAATTATACTTCTTCTTCATCTTACCTTTGCTATTTTGATTTATCCTTATTAACATGATGCAACAACAACTAAACAATGTGAACCTTTTCAGATACTTATGGCGTGGGAAGCATACCTATGCCATTGCTCAGCACAAATTTCATAAAAGTATATATGAGGAGGCTGATGCAAACAAGCGGAGGAAACGATATGCCAGACCTCTTATTGACCTGCACATGAAGATATACCGCTACGAGGGAATGGAGCCATGGAGTCTAAAGAAAAGCACAATTAGTGGTAAGATGGGAGGCCAAATTGTTCAATTGCTTGATTACTTGCCTCTTTCTGTATTTTTGTTTTGAATTCAGACGTACTTGCCTTTTCTCTCATGCAAAGGAAAGGGCTGTATTGCATACTGGTGTTGCTGGTTGCTGCACATTGTATGCTCTTGTTTTCATTGATCCACTGAATAATTTCATTTTATTAACATTAAATCAAAATTTGCAGATGTGCCAGAGGGAGCCATAATCATACGGGAGCATACCCTACTGAATAACCTGTTTAGTTGCCTGTGGTTCAATGAGGTCCATCTCTTCACACCAAGAGACCAGCTGAGTTTTGGCTATGTTGTCTACAGGTTAGGTGGCTCGTTTAAGTTCCACATGTTTCCAAATTGCGAGTACAATTCATTGTTTGTCTTGCACCAACATAATCGGGAACATTCCTCCAGAGTAGAGTGGGTGAAAAGTTTGAATGAGTTTAAGGGTAATGGTAGTAGTATGAAAGAGAGCAAGGGTGGTTTTGGCTTGTGGACCCCCTATCCTGGGAACCTTGATTCAGTTGTCCTTCCAAAAGTAGTAAGGACTTCAAAAGCAGGCTGAGGTTCGTTACTGTGCAATTTTGTCTTTCCTGTAAACTTAAAAGTACTATTGAACGGTCGACCAGGCTTCTACTAGAAGGAAAAGGAAGAAACCTGAATGCCTTTTAGTACTGAAGTATGAGGAATGTTAGGGGATGATGTAACTTCCAATGTAATAATAATAAAGATTGGGAGCTCTCTTAATGTTGATTGATTCTCCAAAATCATGGTTATGAATTGGTTTCGATGAATGGGAATTCATTTTGTTAATTTTATTTTTCTCCTAAAAAAAAGGGTATTTCAATACCAGAATTACCACATTATCAAAAGCTGGTTGGAATTTCCATTGTGCTTCTTAATGTTATTTTTACTTCTGTTTTCCTCCCATCCAAAGATATAGCATCATAATCTCAAACCACATCCATGTTAGCACCATGCATATTTAACTGTTAAAATATTAAAATGAACAAATAGAGTTAAAAAAGCAGGCAGATTTTGCGAGGGGTAAATCATAAACCTATATAAAAAAGTTCCAGGTTCAAACCAACTTTTAGAACAATAAAAAAAAAAATCTCTGTTTGACCTAACTTTAAGCTGAGAAGCTGTTTCCAAAGTTGGGCTAATCAATCACTAACCCAGATACAGATGACATCAATAACAGAGATAAACACAATTTAAAGGTACTGGACCTGTGTTTCCTTCTCAATAAAACAAAATCCAAAACAGATCAGATTAAAGAAATAAACAAGAAGCATCACATGGGGCTTCAGACTTGCAACAAGCCCCCATTTAATTTCCCGGAAAAGTTCATATCCATGGCGCAATCAGGTTTTGCACTAAAGAACAGGATACAAAATTTACAAGATCTAGTTGAAAGTAATGTTCCAAAGAATTTCGGTCTCCTCTTGACTAGCCAAAGAACTTATGGAGGGAAGCTTGACTAGAGCACTTATTACTTCTTATAGGGGAAAGCTATTAACCAAAAACAGTCAAACAAACAAACTCTTGAAGACAATAGAGCAGGAAATATAGGCCTATGGAGCTTGCTTCTTTCAATTAGCTGCATCTCGGCTATAGTACTGGTCAAGAGTTTTTACTGGAATACGATGGAGAAGCTCACGAGGGAAGATGCGAAGCAGTGTCCATGCCAAATCAAGTGATTGGAAGATGTTTCGGGTGTCATATGCTCCTTGGGTAACAAATTTCCTCTCAAATTTATCCAAGAACTCCAAGTATAGCTGTTATATTCAAGAGAATTGCATTATTTTTCCTTCGAGGAAATGACTAAACAAAAGACAAATATTGCTACGGAAGCTGGAAAGAGAGATACCAGGTCCTCTGAAGAAAGCGCTTCTTCACCAACCACAGCTTTCATTGCCTGTACATCCTTCCCAATGGCATAATTTGCATACAGCTGAAAAATGATCACATAACAAAAGAAAGGAAGGTTAGATGTCTTTGGATGAGATTAGCCCAACCTAAACCAATTTGACTATCCAATCAAACCTGATTAGACACATCAGCATGGTCCCTGCGAGTCATCCCCTCACCAATGGCACTCTGCGATAGTAGCCAAAAGTATTTTGAAGTCAACCTTACTTTTCCCCCATAGATTAATGAGATGCCAACTCCTCTAGGAAAGCAAGTGAATTCGAACAAATGAGACAGTTATTATGCTTACCTTCATCAACCGAGATAGTGATGGAAGCACATTGATTGGTGGATATATCTGTCCAATTCAGAAAGATGAATGTATGCTTTCAGCATAATGTATGAATCAATATGATAGCCGTGATTCATGCATGCAACAAAACCCAATTTGAAGATTGATATCAATATCATATCATTGTCAACTGGCCACTAACAGTAACATAACCAATTGCCTACTTGCCTGTGAATTTGTGTTTTCAACATTACTGTGATCTAAATAGTAGGATAATTCACATCAGCTTCCACTACATCCCTTTAACTTTACCTGTCTATTGTGAAGCTGTCTATCAATGTATATTTGCCCCTCAGTGATATATCCCGTAAGATCTGGGGTAGGATGTGTAATATCTGTCCAAATAAACAACACAGTTCAAGCAAATGTATTGTCATGACACAGAATGGATATGCAGAAAATTGACAGTTTTAAGGATGCATTACCATCATTTGGCATGGTTAGAATTGGAATTTGTGTTATAGAACCTTTTCGTCCTTCGATTCTTCCAGCACGCTCATATATTGTGGCCAGATCGGTATACATATACCCAGGATATCCACGTCTCCCAGGTACTTCTTCTCGGGCAGCAGAAACCTGCACTAGCAATTTGCAGTTTGTGTTAGACAAACTATCATGAAAATAAAAGAACATCATTAGAAAGACAGAACTCATATTTAACATCTAAGAGCAATCAGAACCACGCATATGAAAATCCACACATCTCTAATTCACATCAGTAGAAGTATTGTACCCCATAGAGTTGTGATTAGAGAAAATAAATTTTTTACCTCACGAAGAGCATCGGCATAAGAACTCATATCAGTAAGTATCACAAGAACATGCTTGCCACACTCATAAGCCAAATATTCTGCGGTTGTAAGAGCAATACGAGGAGTAATTATTCGTTCAATTGTTGGGTCATTTGCCTGGACAAAAGATGGAAGGAGGACATTTAAAGGACAAACACTTCAGTCAATGTATTACGTAATGGATAACCACATCCAAAATCAAAATGTAAAACAAATAGATATAAAGACAGCAAGAAACTTTTTATGCTGCTTGAAATATACCAGGTTAAGAAAAAGGGTCACCCTCTCCATGGAACCATTTTCCTCAAAGTCACGTTTGAAAAACTGTGCAGTCTCCATGTTTACACCCATAGCTGCAAACACAATTGCAAAATTGTCTTCTTCCCCATCCTGGAAATTCATAGATTCCGATAAACAATCACTTCTCATAAAAGCTACTGTTTCCTCACACCAACTATCCAACAGATGAAATCATCACTAGCCAACTAATAGTAGTATGTGAACCATTACCCCAAGAAGGTCCTCAGACTTCTCCAATCGTTTTACTAAACCAGCTTGGCGACATATCTGAGCAGCAATTTCATTATGGGGAAGACCAGCTGCAGAAAATAGAGGGATTTTCTGTCCTCTAGCTATTGAATTCATTACATCAATTGTGGAAATCCCTGTCTGAATCATTTCTTCAGGATAGGTTCTCTCACTAGGGTTGATAGAACTCCCTAAGAAAAAGAGCAGAAGATTAAAGGATGTGAAAACATTTTAAATTGCTAAATGGAACACATACTATTCAAATATCACCCCTTCCTTAAACCACATACCAGATATATCTAAGTAAGCCTCAGGCAAGATTGGAGGGCCATTGTCAATGGGTTTGCCAGAACCATTAAAAATACGCCCGAGCATATCCAAAGAGACGGGAGTTTTTAACACCTGCAAAACCAACAGAGTAGGCATTCAGAGGGCAAGTTGAAATGTTGTCAAGGAATTAGAGACCACAAATGATGAAGATTAGCTCCATTTAACCCTCGCTAATTTTTCTTATCAAGTTAAACGCCAGCAAAAGCTCATCAAATACATATAGAGGCATAATTTCAGCAAATATGTCATTTTCTTGCTCCGTTCATAAAGTAGCCATTCTGTACCACATTTTAATAATGAAGGTAAAAAAGAATTAAAAAGAAATAAAGAGCACATACCTCCCCAGTAAATTGCACAGTTGTATATTTGTTGTCGATTCCAGATGTTCCTTCAAAAACCTAGCCAAAAGAAAACTATATAAATAGAGCGCACAAGCTAGAAAAGCATTATTAGACAATTAGTCCAAGGCAATGGATGAAGGAATTGGTATCACACCCTATCAACTAAGGCCACAATACATTAGGCCACAATTTAAACTGTGAAAGTTACTCATGTTTTGGAACAGTGCCATTGTGCACATAATAGGATTTATGATTAAAAAGGATGTTGAAGAATAACAATAATCACCTGAACAACCGCCTTTTCACCATCAACTTCCAGGACCTGACCACGTCGGGTTGTTCCATCCCCTAGTCGAATATTAACAATCTCCTGATATTTTGGTCCCTGACATTAGATCGAATGAAGCATTAGTCATTGAATTCTAAAGAGCAGAAATCAAAATCAAGAGAAGAAGAGCAGTACAAGATGTAGCGTGGAAAAAGAGAAAAACCTACCTTAACTTTATCAAGGATAACTAGAGGTCCAGCAACTCCGGAGACAGTTCTGTACTCTGCAATGTTTCCCAAAACACAGTGAAATCAGCATTGATAGTCAATGGAAACTAATTTTTTAAAACTTAATCATGTACTTTGAACGCAATAAATCCAACACATTTGTACATTGCATCTGGCATATCAACCATAAAACTGTGTTCTGACAGAACTGATCATTCGGCATTTGCTTTATAACCAAGATCATCTATCTGTTTTAACATTAAACGAAGGAGTATATCAGGATCTGGTAGGGAGCATGGAACACAACAACTTACCCATGCCAATCTCCAATGTCCCCTCCTCCATGTCAATGCCGTTTTGTGCCGCACCCATTTTCAAGGTCTGTTTGAAAAAAAAAAAGAAAAAAAGAAAAAAAAGAAGCTGTGAATGCCACAAAGATACTGAATTTCAACTTCCCAAACACCAACAATCATTGCCAACCACTGGCTTAATGCTGATTCAATCAGATTACATAATTTCCTCTTAAATACTCTTAATTAAATATTCAAATTCAAAAATACCAAATTTTTTTTCCATCTCATGCAGAGAGAGTTAACCTCTGTTTGGATGCTTAGAAAACGCAGGAAAAGGATGCTACAAGCAATCAAAAATCTTATCAAAGCGAAAATTAACAGAAAAGAGTAAGCTTGATTCTGTGAGATAAATTCTGCGAGTAAATTAAGAGTCTTTGGTTGTGGGAATTAAAATGAAGGAGAATCCCAATTAAGGGAATCGAAATTCAGATCTAAACAGAGACTTACATTCGAGTTCTAAAGATAGCAGACGCCGCAGAGGAGAGATAAGGAGGAGGAGCAAAGAGGAAGCAAAAAACTGAAATCTGAAAATACTGATAAATTACAGAAAATTAAAATAAAATAAATAATTTAATAAATAAGAAAATTGTTGTATAATAAGGACGGCATCAAACAACACCACTCATTCAACCGGCCTTGATTTGGGAAGGTGTGGCTCTTCTAATAATTTGTTTCATAATTCAATATAGTTTAGTGGGTAAAATAAACAACTTAATAAATAAAGAAAAAAAAAGTGTATATTAGTTTTGATTTTAAATTATTTATTTTATTTAATTAAAATTAAATTTAAAATTTAAAAATTAATTTTATTAAATATTGATATTTAAATTTAGAAATTGATTAAAATATTAAAATATATAATTAGTTTTCAAATTTAGATATCAATATTAAATAGGGTGAATTTTTTAATTTTTAATTAAAATTTTAATTTTTAAATATAAGTTAAAATTTCAATTATTTTTTAGAATTAAAATTGATACACACTAATTTCAATAAATAAATATAAATAAATTATTTTATTATCTAAATTATAAAAAGTTCTTAACTATAGTAAAAATATCTTTATTTAATTATCAGTATTCACAATCGAACAAATAAAATACTAGGGTTAATAGTCACATAAATTGTTTATAAGGCTATAAATATATTGTAAATTTATTTAATTTGATT